CTATATATTAATATTTGGAATAGTCTATGAAAGTTGTACTAAATCACTGAAACACAAACCGCGGAACAGAAACTGACATAAACGTATGGGAAAAGGGGGTAAGATATTACTATGAATAACAAACGTCAACGGCGGTCGTTGAACGGGTAATAGTGCAAATAGAAAATAGAAACAAAACAGAAAACATAGTAAAACAAGAGACAGGCGAGAGTAAAGTATATACGACAAGAAAATTCTTCCAACAGTTGGCTTGTATAACCCACTCAAAGTAACAAGACAGTTGACGATGTACGGCGCAGATTACATATTAAGGAAATGCTTTCTCGCATGCGTGTTTAGATTTCGCTTTATTCATTTAGTCATAGAGGGTCTTAATGTTACCTGTCCCCCATAGACTGATTGTTTTGTCTAATGATCTTTTAACAAGTATCACATAGCAGGAAAAGGGCATTCACATACAATGTATTATAGAGTAGCGAGACAGAAATCATGTTTAATAGGTGTAGAACCATGCAACCGATGACAGAAACAAAGGAGGAACGACACTGTAATAACGGTAAACATGTCGGTTATTCTGCTATAAATGTAAACTTGGTTTTACAGATACTGATGAAATATTTCACGACATTGAATGAACTTGATGTAGCCTTATATGTACTAAAGATTTATCCTCATAATCACAATGGTTGAGATCCGATATTTCGGCGAAATAAAAACCAAAATACGGCAACCGAAGAAACACAAACCACAACACGTGCTAAATCGTATTTATAATTTAGTATATATAAAAATATATATCAACCGTATATATAAATATGTAGTCAGCGCTGTGAATCGTATATATAGNACGATGTACGGCGCAGATTACATATTAAGGAAATGCTTTCTCGCATGCGTGTTTAGATTTCGCTTTATTCATTTAGTCATAGAGGGTCTTAATAGTACCTGTCCCTCATAGACTGATTGTTTTGTCTAAAGATCTTTTAACAAGTCTCACATAGCAAGAAAAGGGCATTCACATTCAATGTATTATAGAGTAGCATAACGACACAGAAATCATGTTTAATAGGTGTAGAACCATACAAACCGATGATAGAAACAAAGGAGGAATGACACTGTTATAAACATGTCGGTTATTCTGCTATAAATGCAATCTTGGTTTTACAGATACTGATGAAATACTTCACAACATTGAATGAACTTGATGGAGCCTTATATGTACTAACGATTTGTCCTCATAAACACAATGGTTGNCCCCCCCCCCCCCCCCCCCTAATACGGCAACCGAAGAAACACAAACCAAAACATGTGCTAAATCGTATATATAATTTAGTATATATAAATATATATATAAACCGTATATATAAATATGTAGACAGCGCTGTGAATCGTTTATATAGATATATAGGCAGAGTTGTGAATCGTATATATAAATATATAGACAGAGCGGTGAATCGTTTGTATAAATATATAGATATATAGGCAGAGCGGTGAAACGTATATATTAATATATAGGCAGTGCTGTGAATCGTTTGTATAAATATATAGACAGAGCGGTGAATCGTATATATAAATATATAGGCAGTGCTGTGAATCGTATATATAAATATATAGACAGAGCGGTGAATCGTATGTATAAATATATAGGCAGAGCGGTGAATCGTATATATAAATTTATAGACAGAGCTCTAGTTTTGAGTTAGCTTTTAAGTTTTCTTTTTCATTGCTGTGAAACAAAACTAGTTCTCGCGGCTACGCCAATAACGTTGAAATCATCCAAAGTCATAAACCGTTAACCATCCATCATTTCATAGCAGTTGAGATATATATATTAATGATCAATAATTTAGTTAAATAGAATTTGGCTAAAACATAAGTATTTTTTCAATTTCGATGTCTTTTTATCCACACTCATGAGTCAATACGAAATGTATTAAACTACATGACGTCAGGATGTTTTAAGAGCTAGTTACTTTGTTGAGCACAATAACTGCCACTGTATACGGGTACTGTATGTAGCCAGTTGTCCCTGTGCATGACTTTAACCGTCTTTAAATCATCACGTATTTCATATACGGTTATGCGTTGACGGCGTTATTTTGCAATTTGCTGTAAATAGTAAATTTCAGGGTTTTATTCCATCGGCTATCCATTATTACAAAACATCTAATGAAGATTAAGAAATAACTTGACGGGGTCACCAGAGACAGAATCACGAATGTGAAAAATTTCATATTTTGATATATAGCTGTTCTAACTTCAAGAGCAACTTTATTTGTAAACAAGTTTTCTGAGACATGCAGCAAAATAAGTAAATACGGTTTACTTTGGCTTGCTCTATACATGTACGAAGATTTAGCTTAAATAGTATGTTATCCAACTATCTAACATGTTTCAGAGGTAAATAGATAGCTCAGAGCTTATATTTATTCCTCTCCGAAAATGTGAAATGAATGCCTCATAACTTCTTTGTTTTATATATCTTGTGATAATCAAACGGCATGACATTTTTATTATTAGTTTCCCATGGTCAATTATTGAAATCTTCACTAGCCCCAATGTGAAGGTGTCTCTATAGAGATACCTTCAATTCGTCACGTAACTGGATGTAATATCCTGTCCTCAGTCTGCCTAGCCTGTCCTCGTTTTGCTTTATCTTGAATAAACATATATCATCTTTGTTAAGTTGGTTCTTTGTCATATATCTGATAACATTCTTCCACCATTTATAGTAGCTTAGGGATACTCCAGTATGACTTTTATTCATTTATAGGGCTCGCATTTCACACAATTACATCACAAACTACTAGAAACTAGCTGAAACTTGACATTACATATTACTATGGAAAACAAAAGTGAGTTAAGCAAAGACGTATATTTGGCAAAATACATCATGTTGTGTGCCACCAATGGAGTAGTAGAATTATCAGGACACCTGGTTTCGCCCTCGGTTTGTTGTGTGATTCATTATGTCTCTCATGTTCTTTGGTGTCCGCTCTTCTTCTGTTTTTTGTCTTTTTATTATAAAAGCTAATATAACGGAAAATGTGCTGAATACATGTATATAATATGTGCGTTATCATTTAAGTGGTTTTACATCTGCGTCAGCACACAATGTTGAGGATGCTTAAGCATTAGGTCTCTGTGATATAGGTGTCTGTCTTGTATGGTGGGTGACCCAATTTTTCTGCCACCTAAGTTCTAGTCCAGAAAGGAAACTTTTGTGATATTGTATAACATATTAAAGAAACGTATCTATGTTCCAAATTTGTTTAAGCAACTTAACATAAAAAACAATCGACTTCGATATAAATTCTTACTGATAATTGTATACAAAACGGCAATATTTGTTATTTCTTTTTTCGGCTGTGTTAGTAGATATGTGTGCATATTTTGACACTCTATATGTAACAACAACCAAACTTTCGCAAACAATGTCATTATGTATAAAACAACAAATAGATAACGTTATACAGTCAATACTGCACTCTCTTACTTTAAATCATCAGTGCTGCAATAACACAACATTTTGTGTATAATACTCAGCATCAGAAATGAAACACAATTGCACTTCTTTTACGAGATTCAAAAAGTAGCATTCAGAGAAATGCAACAACATGTGTTTAAAGACCTCATTGGTATATTTTTATTAACGACTGTAAGAGAGGCAACACTTAAGATTAATATTCATGAAGTCAAAACGGTCCTTTGATCAAAACATGATAATTGATGCAATTTTACCAAATTTAGTGTCTGTATGGGAAAACTGACACCGTAACATATCTCAGATGGCACAAACAATTATCACGTTGATACATAATATATATTTCACTTATCGAACCTCGAAACACACCGCAGCCTGTTGAGGGTCCAACCCCAGTCACTCATTAACTTATTCACTGCCATGATGATATATGACGAACTCGTTTTTATATGGTCGTATCAGAATCAGGGGATGTGATGTTTTCAATTCATCAAAATCAAATTACGTATGATGAATTCTGTTCTTCCGCATCAATTAAATTGCTATTGGATTAAGTGACACGGGGAATTGTTCATCAATCATCACATGTAAACGAAGTTTTTGACGTAACATTGGCATATTTAGAGCTTTAATGAAAAATATATGCAAGATGAGCTAATTGGTGTTACGTACTAACGTAAAATAGATAATTGCGAAATAGATGGTTTTATTTAATAACTTTCATTTATTTGATTTTATTTGATAGCTTGTCGAATGCACTTGTCGTTTAATTGACCACATCAAATGAATTAAACCACACTGACATTTAATAATTTCATTTCTAATAATCCATCATGATTTTATCTTGGAGCCAAAGACTATAGTAATACTGAAACAGCAGATGGTTTGGCCTCTTAACAATTCTGTTATTTTAGCATTCCAATGTGTGCGTCAAATCATTTATTAGTAATAAGAGGAAATCATTGAAAGAATTTTTTTTAAGTTAAAAAACCCGTTTTAAAATAGAAAGAGTTAATATGAATAAATATGAAAAGTAAAGAAATGCGACTTTCACAAAAAAAATGCAGGCCGCTTTGCCCTTAAGACTGGAATTGGCAGGTCACTGTCATCAAGTGTATTGCTGATTATTACGAATCAAGAAAAATCATAGGTTTCATACTGGCTGACAGATCTTAAAATGTCCTGATAATACTGCCTATTGTCTGTCGCGGTCGTAGACAAGGGGTGGTACATCCTTGCCAAATATGGAAATTTGATGTGTTTCCTAGTTGTGTGGTGCTAGGCCGACACTCTGAGGCTACATTTGTAATTCTAAATATATGAGACATATGCGGAAAGAAAAACCGGCCAGGGATTCCTCTTATTCGCGAATGAGCAGGAGAATTGGGTGACGTATTGCGCGCCCGTCATTCTCATGACAAGACAAGTTTTTTATTCGTCAAGTGGTGGTTCTGTGACAGGTGCTCTGTGACAGCCGTATATAACGGGAGCCGTCACTCCATGCCTGTGTCCTGATATAAGTCACCGAGTAAGGTAGGTGTCCTGAGGAGAGGGCACAGGTAGAAACAGGCCGAACAAGCTCATTTACTAGACTCATATACACTATATGGTGTCTGGAGTCAGCAAGTTTGGGCTTTGTACGAAAATACAATCTTGGTTTCGCAAACCTTCAAGTATTATTTCTTTATCAGGACATATCAGGCACTGTGTAGGAAAAGAACACTAGTTGCTTTTTTTTCACATTTCCCAAGGACTTAACTAAAACTACCTGCAGTTGGATTTAGATTCGTTCTATCATTGTTTTGGCGAGTGCGTTACAGAAAAAGCAAATGGATTAGTAAAGATAAAATAAATTTCTTTTCCTTTGGAAGAGTTTTTGTTTTAAGTGAGCAACTATTTGTATGGAATCAGAGTGACCTTTTAGTAGAAGTGGAATTGCACAAACTTTCAAAATGAAAGCAAAAACATCAGCGGAGAGTAATAACAATTCTCTTCCTGGTAGACGGAAACCGAAGCACCAGGGAAGGTAAGAATGTCGAAAAGATTTATAAAGACTTATGAAAGTTCTCTTCCATGTTTCCACTATTAAATGTATTTGGTTAATCTTTTTTCATTGATCGACCAAAATATCTTTTAGAAATTATAACTATTTTGTAGGCTTATTTTGCATTTTTTTCCTGTAAAATATTGAACAAACTAATTATTCGCAAAAAAACAATAGCTAAATGTTTTTAATAGACTTATCGATTTTTTCAAGGCAGTGTGTGTGTGTGTGTGTGTCTTTCTTGTAACGGTATTTCTGCACAGTTTTGTGTGTACATGAAGTGCTGGCAGCAGTGTTTTCACTTTCCTTTGTGTGTATGACTTTCTCGCTGCGGTAATTCCGCACTAGTTTATAAGGGTACGGCATGCTGACTCTTTTGCGTATGCAGTGAGTTCGGTGAAGAAATTGCTTGCAAAAATGGTTTTGAAGTATTTTTTTCATTTTGTGTGTGTATGCTTTTCTCGAGGCAGCGTGTCCGCACTGATGTGTGGATATGAAATGTTAGCGCTATGGTTTGTATAAGGCCGTTCTGGCAGTAATATATTAAAAGAAATAGATTGTTGCAAGCATAAATGACGCCGTTGGCAGTATTACATTTAAAATTCAAATTGTTTCAAGCAGATATATTGTAATTTGTGTGAATTGAAGTATAATCAAGTATGCACATGTTTTGCACTAAGGTATGCTAGGTGTTCTGGAATTAATGTGTCCAAAATGTTGATGCTATTATGACACGCTAGTTTACCCAAGGTGGTTTTTGTATATCATTGGCATAGCATCCCCATTGTATTTTTTATGGCAAATGTCGCGTATCTGATATACTTTCTACGTAGAGTAACAGCAACAATACTAGTGCCAAAATTATATCAAAACTTTTCATTTAGTATATTACGTTTATACATACGTTTCCGTAATTATTAGCACTGACGTGTTGGGAGCTCGTAATCGTTATTCATAGAAACATGCGCTCCTCGTGAGAGTTCTGATGTTGCAAGTGTTCAAAATAGCGATGGGTTTCTAGGCTCAATATCGAAAAACCTCTTAAACAAACATTTTTAAATGACAACACACAGGCTTATTGTCATAATGTCTTCATTTGTTATTCGGGCAACGGAAGAGAAAATATCATTATAATTTGTTTGGATAAATATTATTTATCAAAGGTTAATCTATTAGGATATATCATTAAAAATAACAAGTTTTTGTGTAAATTATCGATAGTGTGTAAAACATAAGTGAATAAAGTTCTCTCATTCACTGATTATTCACCTTTCCGTGACGATTACATTCGACACGTGTGTTTGTTAAGCTGTTTTTTAAATAATTTTTATCGTTCATCATATTCAGAATAACATTTATATGAAAACGTTAACACTTTATTTACGCAAACAATTATGACACTGATTCTAACCAAATCTTCGCACCATGTCGTTCACACTCACCACAACGAGAATGTCCGTATATTCGAGTGTCTTTAATCAGATTCGAATATGTTCCTTTAACAATGTTAAACATAAAAAATGAAGACATCACTGCTAGTCTTGAAATTGAATCAAATTGGGAACCATTTATTTCACATTACAAAGAATACTTGCTGGTGTTAAAAGTTGATTGCCTTCATATGAACGGTTTTACCATTACAAACATAATTAATACTAAGGCAATATGTATATTGATAAACGAACAAATGCTTTATTTCATCTGATCTCCGATTGTGTCTGTCCAACCCATCCACTCGTTTCCACAGAAACGATTATGCTTTGGCCTGCAACCGTAAATTAGCGATTATTACGTTTTCCAGCGCGACCGGGGGTAAATCAAAGAATAACGATGATGATCTTCTATAACTATGATTTGTAAATAATGTCATGTTTTCCTTTACGATTTCTCCAGTCATTAGAAATACTGGTCTCTCAAAAATTAGACTTGATTTAATAAAGCAACGATAATATGAATTTTAAATATTTAATATGTATTTTAGCGTTAATTTGTAAAGAACGTATAATTAGATGAATTAATTTATATTAGTGCATAAACAATACGTTTTAACACACAAATGGCATTACAATTAGGGGATATATTATACAAGTATCAGCCCAAAAAGAGCAGCGTTAAGTGCACATTGGTGCCATATGCATATTTTGTGCACCAGCTTTCTCGGCTAGGTCGGCGTAAGTGATAAATTGACTCTATGCTACCATATGAAGTGACACATGTGACGCCCTGGAGAGACAGATCTAATTTATTATAACTAATTAATGTACGATCTGAAATGTACGCGCATACAAATATATTGGATTGTGACAGCATATATACAGCGAATTCCGGTTATTGTATTATTATTGTAAAAGTTAAAGAAGCAAGCCGACGAGAACCGAATTTGTCCCAAGGATCTTTATACTGCATGCCAACACAGTTGCTAGATAGTGCTAATTATTCATTGCTGTGAATCACTGTACGGCTGCCAACTCTTCTTTATAAGTGTCGTGAACCGCACGTAGGCATTTTACAGTGAAATATTATGTAAAATCATACGCATGTATTATATTCTAAAACAACCATGTGGTGATGAGGTCTCATTATCAAGACAACCGTGTCCTTTTAAAGTTGTATATTAAATAAATATACAGGGGATTGTATTTTTTAATACCCATATCATATATATTGCATACAACTAACACAATAAAATCAATATATTGTTACACTTTTACTCCTTCAAAGTCGTAAAGGAAATAACACGAATTGAATAGAATAACACCATTGGCAAACTTTTATCACAATTATCTGATACCTGACCGTGACACCGATATACATCTTACACGTTCAAAGTTGCTAAATTGAATGTCCTTCGTAAAGCAATGAAACAGTGATACAAAGACAATGCACATGGGCAGATAACACGACCAACCATCACCTAAACATGTTGCAGCGCTTTCTTTTTTACAAACGGACAGAGGAATAAAACAAAGATGACAAAAACTGTATTGAATGAATGCATGATCATATCTAGTCTATAATGTAATTACATTATTCGATTTGAGTTCGTACCGGAGATGCAAACGTTGTAATCAACGATGCATAAACTTGGGCACGTGTTAAACGCTTTTATGAAAAGGAAACCCTTGTGTCCGCTCTGAAGTTGTAACATGTGATCTTTGACTTGTATTTGTAGGTTTAAGAAGCGCCTGTCTACTATACTCCACACCCATGTAGCGCTGATTTTCCTGTGTACTCTGGCTGTGTTGGATGCAGGATGTGTCATCGGCCAAATTATCAGCGATATCCTTATCATGAAAGGTACGTCCATCGTCAATATCAGTCGCTGTTTACCTTTTTGTGCCCTTTTTCCGGAAATAAAATTTGTGTAGACCAATGATTTATGTATTGACAAGGTATGTATTTTATTCCGAATCTCCATGTTCCAGAAAAGTTCCGTTTGAAAATGTAAATAATTTACACTTTAGGTGTAATATCATAATTTGGCGAGAAATGTAACTGTATTTGACCCAATGAGACATGTAACAGAACACACTGCATTTTTCATTCTCTGCTCGCCGTACGAGAACCAAAAAAAAGGTAACCAGTATTTATACTCGAAAGGGCAAAACGTATCAATTTTTTGTAGGGGGGGGGGGAAGAAAAAACAGTGAAAAGAGTATCAAGCATGAACAAAGGCCATGGGAACCCGATATATATCAATTCAAGTATGCATTGGTGAAGTCCTGAAACCGTTATTGTTGCTCCAAACATAACAAATAGTACACAGAACATTTTGATAATAGCTTACCGCGAACAGAATATAACAGATAAATTCATTATGCATCGTACTTGACGGAATTCTCCTATACACCTTACTGGTTCCTCATGAGAGTAGAATCTTGTCCGTCATAGGGGCTAGCCATTGTTCCAGTTATGATCTATATCATAACACAACTTGATAGTATGTGTATGTAGTGTATCCATGTTACCGATGGTACACCGACCAAAGACGTATTGGCAGACATCTTTATAAAAACATGGTTATTATTGAAATGCATGATATCTGCTCTTTTACATATCGTAATGGGTTTAAGTTAGAATTCGCCAATGGATAGTCTATTGTACGTAAGCAAAAAGCATGTCGCCGTTTTAGCAAAACCGGATTTGTTAATAGGAAAATAAATACGCTGCCTTCCTGTCACACTATTATAACGCTATTTTTCACATTGGTTTAATATGCTATGTTTTGCTCAGATTACTCATTCAGGAATGTTGAAACATTCGACATAATTACTAGTAAAAAGGTGCCCGAAACGTCATCGATGAAACCTACTAGCCCAGAAATGATTCGTATATTTAGGTCACGTCGAACAGTTTGTATCTGTGTATAATGTCGAATGGCTAGTATGTTAATGACGACCTAGCAATCACCCGCCTATTCATCAATCATCGTCGATATGCGTAAAATTGTCATACTATTGTCAATGACACGTGCTCCATGTACACTTCAACTAGCCAATACATAGTTCGATCCGTACACGGATGTCAGCACCTCTCAGGCCACGTGTCAGATCATCCAATAATGACTGCCATTGTTCTAACTATCGGGTTATGTTGCATTAATGACCCTCACAGTAAGGCCCCGTATGTATGCGGTGGCTTTTTTATGTCCTGTGATCATGTCCTGTATTTGACATGACGCGTTAATGCACATGTTCGCGATAAATAACACAATGGACACACTTTTATTAATGTTATTCAGCACCATGCAATACAATAATGAGCCTACCTATACAAAGTTATCAATGTCACGTTATTACCCTTTATTGCGTGTCAGACTTGTAACGTTACTTGCATTTACGAATAATACAGTACACATATGGTCTCAAACTATTTCGATTACAGATGAAATAGGTATCTCTGTAATTCCTGTGACATGACTTTGTTTTAACTAACACTTTACACGTTTTGCAAGTGTCGTAAATGTAAACGTCACTTGATATTATTGCAATTCATAGTATATATATCTTAGTACATGTTTCATTGGATTTATTGATGAAAACTGAAAGCAGGTAAAGGAAATAAATCAAACATATTAAACGATTGAGTGTGTTGTTCCTAATGTAGACAAAATATAGCTTTTGTTGTAAATGAAGGATGGTTATTTCAGAAATGTGTCGCTAACAAAACCATTGACAAAACTTGATATTAGCCTATGCGTTCATCGTTTGTCTATTATTGTTCGAGGTTTTACCTCGATGTTCTATTAATAAACCAACTATATACAACTTTGTGTTTATAGCATTCATGTTTAAACAATGCTACTACCAATATAAACTTCTAATAAAAAGGAAACAAATGGAATAAATGAGATTCATTTTAGTGAGGTTTTGCTACCTGATATCAGGTCCTTCGTATCTAACTTACTATTACAATGTGCTTACAGATGAGCTGCAGGAGAAACAACAAATGGAGGTGCATGCCAAGGCTGTTCTATTAGACTTGTTTCCTGTACGACTTAATAAAACAAGTTGGGATAAAAAGCCTTTGTCTGATATCCTTGTTATATTGAGAGAATGTTTCGATGACGTAAAAGCCACAGATATCCAGGAGAAGAGGATAGCGCTGGAGAAGTTACTCTCGAACACGACCCCTCATTCCTGGAATCATATAGAACACGTGAAAGGGCGTCACAAGAGGGCGGCTGGTGGAAACCATCAGCACGCTTTCCAGGATAAAAACAAATATATCCAGCATCATATCCTCCACGAGCTTACACATGCTTTCCATCTGGGGAGCATGGTTATTCTCACCATTTTACTTATTGAGGTAAGAGTATATTAGTGAAACCGTGTCATACAATCCTCTACCGATACGCATGTATGTGTATTACACCAACATAATAACAAGAAATACCAACAATTGCGATAAAGGCATGCTATCGCATTATCTCTATGGTTACTAATGAGTAATTGTAGACACGGACAGGTATATGCACAGGTAGATGTAGGCGCAGGCATTAATTGCTGTCATGTGCTTTATGTACGCAATTTTATTTTGTATTTCGAAACCACATTTATAATACCTTCAAAGTATTAGAAACAATATTACAGGAACAAATCCGTTTACACCTTCGAAACTTCTTCTAATTGTACATATTATAAGTCCAATTAATATGCTCATGAATTTAATTATATAACGATAACTACAGTATTTTGCTAGTGACTTAGTTGATGTTCAGAAATAGCATAATAATAATTAATGACATAATTTGCAGCTTGGGGCTATTCTTGCGGAAGTAGTATTTATGTATGTCGTTATATACGTAAAGAATTAATTGTATTTGAACCAATGCTAAAACATTATCATGTTTATAATACTAAACTTAACTTGTTCTTCTTTTCAGACATTTTTCAAGGTATTTGCGATGGGAAAGAAATTCCTCTCACACAAAGTGGAGGTAAGTGTTCCTCGGACACACATAAATACAAAATACTGACTCTAACAAAAATTAATAAAACAAAATCACTACACAATATGTGTATTTGTGAAAATCATGTTTTCTCCGCTTGTAATAATTACAAATTTAATAATTGATCATTGATAACACATCAAATGTTTTATTGTATTATTCAAACAAGTAAAAAAAGAATGTACATAACACTATTAAGATAGTTAGATCAGTAGATAATTTGTATAACACTTTCGTGTCATTGACAGGTTTTCGACGCCTTTGTCATCACTGTTTCCTGGGCTCTTGACGTAGTTTTCTGGGAAGGATTATGGGCTCATCCAGAGACGGAGGCAGCTCATATCATGATCTTCATTCTCCCCTGGAGGGTCATCAGGATTGTGAATAGTACGTGTGTTTGGCTGTCATAAATAATGACAGTTAGCGATGTGGTTTTATTAGGTGTTTTATTATTTTCAAACTCATCTTAAATGCTACTCGTAAACTATGTTAAATTTCCCAGTACAATTGTTCCTGTGTACCTACATTCATTGCAGTCACGAAGCGTTCGATTAATAAATGTCCTTCATTAAAAGTTATCATCCACTTAATCGCAATTATATATAATATGAGATACACAGTTCTAACTTTATTTGTATTTTGTTGCCAGGTTTCGTCATGGTCATTCAGGAAAAGGATCATTTACAATTGAAGATAGTTAAACAGCAATACAGAGGATCAGTGAAAAGGGCCAGCGATATGAAAATGAAAGTGGAATTATATAGAGTAAGTTATACAACTTGATACATATCTCATTTGTACTTTATTATCTTACTATATTAACGCCATTACTATATATATATATGTGTGTGTGCATCATATAAAAAAGGGTTCTTTACTAATTTAAAGCAAACCATTTACAAAAACAATGTCCTGTCATGGCTAGCGACACAGTCATAAATATTCAAACTGGATTATCCGGCATTAAGAGTCATTAGGTACGATGTCATAATGATATGTTTTCGGGTTATTACTGATTATAAATTAAGCCGCACAAATACAGGGCACCACATCGGTCCGGCGGTATCTCCGGAATATACAACGGAATCTACTTTAGTTTACATCAACATATATGTTAACTCTATGTAAAAATGTATTGGACGCATAACAGTGGTTAGAACAGACAGAACAATAATAGTATTGCAAGCACATAAAAAGCATACATAAGCTATATCTACAAGGTAAAACAAGTTAACATATCGGAGCCGGAGGCGGTATCACTTTCGGTTATTTGACTGGCGCTTCTACTGAGTACCATTCGTCACCTCTATTACCAGTTACCTAGATAGCAATTAGGTGGCCAAAGGCAATATCTGGCGGCTGTCCGAGCGCTGCAATAAAACGATAGACGAACTATATAAGAATACCATCACTTGTCAGTAATGGTCGTCCATTATAGTTCGGTGACCTAGGTAACCGACCATAACAGTGGCGTACGCGTTCTGATGGGAGAATATAGGAAGCACTTTTTTATAGAACAATGCCATCTCAACGCAATGCTACTTAAATTTTAATATGGCTTCTATATGAAAATATAATGATATATAAAATGTTTTTCAATGGAATTTTTTTCAAAACAATATATATGCACAAATGATGCATGTTTAATGTTCATCAACGTTAAAAAGGTAATTTATAAAGTAAATATATATGTTACATTTTATTTCGAAAACCAAACATATATTTAATCATGCATTTTTTAGATCGAATTGAGGCAGCTCCAAAGTCTGTGTAGAAGACGAGGGGCCACAGACCGTGAAATCCAGCAGTGTGCGCCCGAAGGTAGGTAGCAAGCCACAAATCTGACATTTTGTTTTACGGACTGATGTGTGACCGTACTAAAATGGTTTGTGTCATATATTAAGCTTGCTGAATAAATCAGTAAGAATCTAACAAATGTCTGCTAAATATAACATTACCTAGCAAGTGGCATTTGTGGTTTTTGTGTCTGCCGTTCCACAAAACAAGATTTTAGCCCTTTTTTTAAATTTAAACCGATTCTTTATATAATAATCAAAACGTACAGAAAGAAAATGGTAATATCCATATGTGACATGTTGATAATGTATGACGATTACTGACCTGTTGTTTACAGGTAAGAGGAGGAGGAGCAGTCTGTTACCCGTACTGACGAGATTGGCCTCAGTTGGATTGTTGGGATCGGTTAGTAGTTCTACGGATTTGACGAAAGACGCGGCCTCTAATGATACGTCTGACGAGGAGGATTCTGCTGTAGATCTGTCAAGCCGTCCCAATAGTAACTACAGCAATTACAGCAATTTCAGCAGCAGTGATTGTTTAAGTCTTGGCAGAACAATATCTACTGCTAGCAGCATTTCAGCTGTAGCTTATCCACACACTCCTATTAGCACGGAAAACTTAGTCAAGGACAATCCTGCTTTTGCGTCAGATGAAGAACCGCCAAACTATAAGGAAGTGACGGAACCAAAAACAAATGACGAGGTGAGACTATAGAGAAGCACCATGTTCAAATATGTTACAACTCAATGTCATGGTCCACAACAAGTCGCTCATACATGTTCGAAATATAATCTATTTCATTTTTCGAATAAAACAAATGTAATGTTTTATACAATAGGTTTCAAAGAAAGTCATATCGAGTAATGTTTCAAAATTATTCACAGTTTAAGACCTTGCAAATGCTTGCTTGTTTATCCATACTTGAATATGAAATGAAGCTGAGCGAAGATTATGCAAATGAAGATAATGTGCCAAGTTCTCTGATATTTTATGTCTTGAGATATTCATCATAAAGAAATGGGCAATACACGAATCTCCAACGTTGGTATCTTGTTGAGTATAAAGTTAAACGAAAAATGTTTATGTCGGACAATCATTTCATATTAGGCACTACCCCTTAAAATGTTGAAATTTCTTGTGTATGGGTACAATTATGCTTTTTGATCATATCCGCTTGCAACAACCATGATAATGCATTATTTAATTGTTCACATTGTAAACATGCAACCCAAATGGAGACATTAATTGGAGTTTTTGCATTAGCAAAGCTTCATGAATTCAAACTGGCATCATGTTCATGCTTTATCCATCTCTCTGCTTTCAGAGCTTTTTCACGAAGCTTTGAAGAATGTTTTTTGACCACTCTGAGGAATCTTGCTTACTACAGGCTAAAGTGCTAGAAACAGATGGCAATGGACATATGACGGTGCTATACGAACTTGCTTATGCAGTTTAAACAAGCTCATATCGGTGATGCTTTTCACGCCTATATGTCAAGGGAAAGCTTTGGTGCGTCATAGAAATGACAGATCAAGCGGTGTATGTGGTTTATTGGCTGAAAAATACGTCGTATAAAGAGAGCAGTTATGTGAACTGTTTTAAACAAACGCTCATAGTGTTTTGCGCACATCATTTACTAATACACATAAGTTGAAGAGTGTGAGTTGCCGCAATTTGTGCCTAAGTCAGTAATTGTGTGGTTCATGTCTGTTATGCACCCTCCTATCTGTGTGTTTCATTGACAACTTAGCTCATGTTTGCTACACTGTACTGCCCTGAACGTCTATCAACTCAATTTGCCTTCGATGTATCAGTTCGATAGGAGTATGGAAGGGTGTAGTTCCCTTTTTTATATAGAATAATATGTCATCTGTAATAGTCAGACTGAGATTATTGATAAAGCAAAATGTTTATTCTTTGATATGAAACTTTTCTTAATTTTCTATAAACACCATTGATAAATACCAGAATGTTTAAAACAGACTGAAGTTTTAATGCGAGTCGTAAGCAGGAAAGGTAACATTGTGGTCGAGCAGCTATACCTGCTACACAACTGATTCAGTCTACTTCCAAACGTTTAAACGTAAAAATAGACTGTTAAGTTGCAAAAAGAATTGCATACTTTATGATTAAAACAGAAATCAGTAGATATTTTGTAAAGATAGTAAGTTTAAATGAAGTCTAATAAAAGCGGATCTAATTACAATGTACAATACCAACAATCAAAGTATATATTAAATATATTACATCCCGGTTTTAATCATGGTTTATCTATTGACTACCCTAGATGAATATTATCTATCAATTACAGTGTTGCCCTAGGCTTTTGTTTTAATTAACTATAAAGCATCGCTTTGTCTCTGTTTCTCGTTGTATTCGCTAACTACCTAGCGTTACAAACTCCCTCGTATCAGTATCAAATAAGTTTCTTTCACACTAAATTTACAGTTATGTATTCATTAGGACGGAGATCTGACGATGGGAATAGTATGATTTCAAATATTAACCTATATAAAAATAATAGATCTCGTTATTTGAATACATTATAGATAAATCAATAAACAATGATATTTGTTTTTATTTGGTAATCAATCATTGCAGGACTATCAAATTGAGTATTACAGATAAGTAATGTCCCGGTGATAATCACAATGAACTCATTCAGGACCGTTTGTTTTATACTGCTGTTTACTGCTTTGCATTCATTGAGAACGATTTGTTTGGTTTTCGTCTCAGGATAATGAGGAGTATGTTTTTTATAAAAAAAAATATTACATTGTGTTATTCGATCTAGGAAATACAACTAAATATTGTTTTTAAATGACATTTACAAATGGCAAACATTTCGTATCATCTCAGTTGCAATTAACGAAACGTATGCAATTGATATAAATATAAGTGACCGGTGTTATTTTCAACTCATTAAAACAGAAACATTTTGTCATCCCATAAAATATTGATGTGAGGATTTCATTGTGTGAGAAAGTGAGAGAGTGAGATGTGCAATAAATAGTAGTATGTTAAAACGAGAAAGTGCTTTCATTGTCATTCAATCTGATGGTGAAGTTGATAGTGTGTTATTTATAATCAGATGTATAAATAAAACAATAAACATTATACATCGATAAAAATGCGTTGCTCTTATCATTTTTTATGTAATATAATCGTTTATCCTGATATAGTAAGGTACATCGATTGATTATTTGATCTGATATTCAGACAAATGTAATTAACTGTCTTGAAGCTCTATGTTGCATTCAGCTTACAGGGACACAACATTTCCATATCAAGATTCAATCGTTATATTTCGATTAAACACATTCAAAGTTTTGTGAAATACTGAAAGTTGTGATGTCGAGGCTTAGTTTAAATATGCATGAACATGTTAATGTAGTAATATAGCGAATAGTGTATCTCGTCTCTACACAAAGTGCTAAACAGTCCCGTCCACCAAATTATGTATATTGGCAAGTGTCTGTGCCTTGTAGTCCATGTGCAGACAAATACCGTTAAACGACTGTGTGAAAGAACGATTAAATATATAGCCAAATGTTTTTGATAATATGTGAAATAAGCATTCCAAAATTGAAAACGTCAGCAGTCATTTCAAACTTAGATTTATTTACAAAACAAATCATATCCATGTACCGTTTTAAATTGTTAAAATTCATTTAATATGCTTTTAACTAAACTATTACATAAAACATTGTATCTCTGATCATATCAGGAATTATTATTTTCTTTTTGCTTATGCAATTGATAAATTAATAAATATATTACTGCATAAAAGTTAAGACATTAATATACTGTTATAGCAATTATGATTGCAATATACTATACCAGCAGCTAAAAACAAAACGCAAATGAACATCGCAATAACCGTATACATTTTGGATACAATACTGAGTTAGTGGAACAGCCTTGAATGGGTGTTTGGCATGCCCACTGGTATAAACAGACATGCTTGTAGTTGTAAGTCGGTGATGTCAGTTTCGTGCACACGCCTGCATGATGAAAGGTAAGGTGTCGAATGTTGACCTTTCTCTGTGTAAAACATAGAACTATTGACATTGAGCAAGGAAACTGGGGGCATTAAATACAAATAACGATAAAACGCTAGTAAACTAACTGTATTCGCTGCTGATTGATCACCAAAAACATCTTACTTCGTATGTAAAAGGGTGAGTGCTTACCCTAATGTTGCTTGATCTTGGAGAAAATGACAGGTTTATGACTTTGCTGGCATTATGATGTGTCAAGCTAATACACGACAACACACAAAGAACATAGTTTCAGGAGATGATCATCGCGGTCCGAATACACCGCCGCTATATTGTTAATTTACATGGCGATGTTCTTAACGTGGTATACAGGTTAATAGTAGGGGCCATACTTTCCTAAAAAAAACAGGGCTAATTATTAAATACTGTTAATTGCACAATCATTTTATCTGAATATAACTAATATGTTTCAACTTAAGTTTTGAACATTTTTCCAGTTACTTTCAAACATTAATATACTCCATACAAATCAAAAATTGTAACTGTTTGCATCAAATGTTCGCAACACAGAGGTTAAGTCATTTTTGAAGCTTAAAGCAGATAATACCAATATTTTCGATATTTTGGAAAACTTTGTTGTAATAACACTTTGTTGTGGACAGCTAGGAATACAATAAATATGAATGAATTTTACTGTCATCCATGATATGTTTCTAAGGGGTCTAACTTGTATACAGCGCGCCATAAACCGCCCGAAGATTTACCTATGTGTACTTGCTGGTGGACATTTGTGACTAGAAATGAAATTAACATGTGATATGTTTTAATAACACAGTAAGCCACTGCCGTAACAATGTCACTTCAGTTACTCATGTTGCCTCCGGTCCATTTCCGTCTCCTCCGTTAGTCCTGATTGGCTGGTTGTTAAATGAAACTCTGACACATATATGCTTAGTGTGAAGCCGCGAGGCATAATTACAAAATTGTCAACGTGTACCGCAAGTAACTTTATCAAAATGTAATTACGAGAGCAGTCTGTGTTATGATTATTATTACCTAATAGGACTGAGTATGGCGCTGTCAAATATTAATATATCTTTGCTTGAAATCATTTTAATTGACATTAAAACATTTACGCCTGATGGGTTAATACAAAAACATCAAATATTGTGTCAACCATCAAGACATACATATATAAACAACAAAATAAACTAAGTAAAAAAAGGCTATGATAACAACAAATGTAGGTTCACCAGAACTTCATATGTAAACACACATACGTTGTTCTACAGCCAGAAACAGTAAAACAATACCAAATTGTAAACAAAGGTGTAGGCGTATTCTGCTTCACCAACAATTCCTGTAAATCTAGGTCAAATGAATGTAAATCTAGGTCAGATCAATGAAAATCTAGGTCAGATCAATGTAAATCTAGGTCAGATCAATGTAAATCTAGGTCAGATCAAAGAGATGGCATGCCTTCAGAGAGAGAACCGGTGTAATGATAATGAATCACAAGGTAAACAAATAAGTAAAAATGTTGAAAACATCCTCCGTATCGTAAACGGAATATCTGAACACAAACAATAACGGTTATCTTAGCATGTAATATATTGAAAGTAATCAAGCACTGAAATGGAAGTATATTAATCAATCACTAACATAGAATTATAAAAAGCAAGCACTGACATGGAATAATAAAGAACAGGTACAGTACTAATATGAGATAATAATAATCAAGCACCTACACGAGATAATAATAATCAAGCACCGACACGATATAATAATAAACAAGCACCGACACGAGATAGCAATAATCAAGCACCGACACAAGATAATAAAAATCAAGCACCGACACGATATAATACTAATCAAGCACCGAAACGAGATAATAATAATCAAGCTCCGACACGATATAATAATAAACAAGCACCGACACGAGATAATAATAATCAAGCACCGACACGAGATAGTAATAATCAAGCACCGACACGAGATAATAATAATCAAGCAACGACACGATATAATAATCAAGCTCTGACATAGAAGTGAGATGGTTAAGCATTAATTGATATTTCTCATAAAAATATGATAAAGGCTTTCATTATTTTAACGCCGTTATAAACTCCCTTGAATATTCCTAGAGGCATTACATGGTTGATAGGGCATTTGTCATGGTAAACGTGTCAGTTTATATAGCATATACATTTAGATACGTAGTTACAAAATGTATATATATTTTTATATCAATTAGGGATGCATTTTTCCTCGTTTTTCTTCAGCTACAATATGCTAGTGTCCAATGTATTATCAGTGGCAATTATAATTAAGGAAATCATGATATTTTGCAAAAGACTGAAACTTTTTCTGACACTTTTTCTGAAACTGCCACAGAAAGGCTTCTGTAAACACATAAGAAATTTTTCATTTTAGGTCCATAACCGGGACCGAATCTGCGTTTATGCTTTTCAATTCAACACAAAATATAACAACGCTCTATCAAATCCATTTCAAAATCTTTTTAACTAGTTTTGGTGGGATTGGCTTTCAGATTGCTAATTATCTTCAACGCAGAAGAAATACATCAAATTTAAAAAAGCCTTAAAAGACATGATCGATTTAGCATATATTGTCTCTTTACAATTCTGTTGGGTTTCAAATTTGTTTTGAAAAATATAATATTCATGAACTTTCATATCCATTTTGAGGTATTTGAGACATGGATGTTCATTCTTTGACCTTAAGTGCCATTATTGAGTCTTAAATGAACGACATGGCGTTGTAAGGTTTTTATTCATCTTTTCTATAACCTTAAAAACACGGTTGTCGACTTTGTGTTTTAAGTGATCATTGCATGTATCACGGTGGTCAACTCTACTGGCCGGCTATCAGTCATCGACGTTGGTCGTAATCTTGCAGCTGGACTATTTTCCGACTAACTTAATGTGCTGCTTACTCTAGTAATTAGTGTAACCCATATGGAACGTTGACTATTGGTGAGGTCCGTAAATTAACCTTTCTGATTGGCCTAAAAACGCGACAACTTCAGACTAACCGCATTTATACACAAGTATCAAAACGTCACTACAAAAATATCAGCCTTAAATGAGATACGTGTCGCTGACAAATATATGTGAGAAAACAACGAACAAAACCAATTAGTCTTTATATAATGAAAAACATTTAATGATACGCAGACACACAACATATTTGTAGGACACATGTTTTTCTCTATCGAGTTCTGTTGAGGAAGAATAAATCCATCAATGCTGGTAGGGCAAAAAACAAGTGTTATGTCTGACATAAGATAGAAACGGTCGTTCACCAGGTACAGGTGTGTAATAAACCTGTGCTGTGTCACTAACGACAAACTCACCAAGTTAATAATAAACACGTGCTGTGTCACTAACGACAAACTCACCAAGTTAATAATAAACCTGTGCTGTGTCACTAACGACAAATTCACCAAGTTAATAATAAAACTGGCTGTATCACTATAGTTGGAATCGCCAGGTATGAAAAGAACAATAACTCAAACTGTGTCAGTTAAGTAAAATTCACAAGTAATGCCATCAAACTGTGCTGTATAACTAGAGAAAGATTCAGCTACCTTTTGTATAACTTTAGTTATTTTCATGGGGTATGTAAAATAATAATGCTGTATCACTAGAGATATATTCGAGTAATATATAATAAAACTGGATATTCCACTATAGCAAGATTCCCAAGATATGCTATAAAACTGACGATTCATAACACCATTGAATGAAAGATTCACCAAGTATGTTATAAAACTGTGATTAAAACTATCGTACGAATCACTATACAATATGAAAATATGAATAGCAGAAGCAAAAGAAATCATTACATAAAACATGAGATCTCAGTATGTATCACTAACTATAGTCGGTAAACATAAACAACAAATACTGGAACTCCACATATACCATAACACACTTATTACGAGCTGTCATTTTCCCGTGTGATTTTTAAGCCTCCTTCAATGAGAATGTGCAATAAATGTTTTTTGTTGTTGATATATCACACGGCATGGTTCGGTTTGTTACAGGTCATTCCCTTCCCGAACTCATAAAAGGCCAGAGACAACGACGTTTACCAAAGGCTCAGCT